GCGCTCACCTACGACGCTAATGCAGCGTTCACCTGCAGCACCAATGCATCACTCACCTGCAGCACTAATGCAGCGCTCACCTGCAGCGCGTCCCCGACATCGGCTGTACTGATGTCCGGGTCGTCAGTGGTGTTGAAAGGAACAGGTGTGATCCTGAGGAACGTGATCACACGCGGTTGAGGATACCGCCACAGCATCACACCTGGAGACTCGTCCATCTCCCTCCAAAACACCACCTCATGAGGCGACGGCAGCTTCTGACATGCTGACAGACAGACAGACAGATACTGTATAATCACTCCCTCTTATGAGTGCTATATGAAGATGTAATGTGTGTGTTTGTGTTACCTGAGTCCTGTATGTACTGGAAGATGCCTGTGCGCAGGTCATCAGAGGAGTGTTCTGATTGGGCGGGGTGAGGGGTGGGTGGCGGTGTAGAGAGGAGGGGCTTCTCGTTAGACTCCGCCTCTGTTCTGCTCATCTGATTCCAGTAGTTCTGCAGCTGCTCTTGAATCTCAGACAAACAGTTAAACTGCTGCTGCCCCCAAAACACCTGCGACAGACAGACAGACCTTCAGTCAGTCAGACAGACATACCTTAGATCTGCTTTAAATCGCAGTGATCTGCCCGCTCACCTATTTATTTCATGTTGCATGTGAGTGTTCATTATGCGCTGTTATGAGTCTGGAATCTACTGCAAGTGCCAGTCAGGTGAACGACCGCTAACAACGTTTCAAACCAGTTAGTAGGACTGACCACCAGCGTCTATGTTTGATTATTTCTACTAGAGGGCGACTGATTTTGCAGATTAATCTGCACCAATAGTTGACTGCCTTAACTAAAAAACAAAATTCCATGCTGAACAAAAATCTATGCCGGTAGTTTTCCGGGTTAGGTCCATTGCTGGAGCGGCTAAGAAGGGTCCGCTATCGTTATACAGTGCAAGGGCGGCCTCTAGAGGCAGAAATCACTGACACCTCATGCTGTTTGTTTTGACACAGTGATACTGCGCTGCACAGAGTGGGAAACTTCAGATGCGGATTTAAACGCAGTCGACAGAAAATCATGCTGCGCCACTTTCCATTACATTATATTTGTCCCAAATCGTTGGTAATGTACCTAATGACTTCACCCTAGGCTGTAAAATTGTGTATTGTGCATTTTTCAGCAAAACGTTTGTCTTTCTGTGGCTCTAATAAAGTATGTTTCACATAGAGAGCTGTAATATAGATCGCACTTTCTCTTTCCGTTTGCTCTGTTTTTAAACGCTGAACTTCAAACTCATCTATGCCACTCTGTTCATTCTTGAAGTAAACTTTTACCTGTTTGGTGATTAAATCAACAGTTTTAGACCGCCGCTTGGGTTGAACGCGACGCATCCGGTGTGTGTGTGACACCTGCGAGTCATCCTGCACTTTTGCCCGGTGTGTGACTGCCAGATTTTGAACTGAGAACTGTTATAAAATAGAAGCAAATAAAGTGTGAGAGTATACATACAATATCCATACGTATATAATTTTAAATGCTATGGCCCTTGTGTAGATATTTAAAGATGGCCATCTTTAAGCATGACTGTTGAAACGAAACAGTAACACTTTACAATAAGGGCCCATTTGTAACATTAAGATTAATGAAAGCAAGAAAAGTATAGTTTCTTGTTAAAGTGTTCATTTTAACATTTACTATTACAAATACATTTTTAAATTTGAAAGATTCTTCTGTTAACATTAGTTAATAAACTATGAACTAACTTTATAATAACTAACTAATTAATATTAATATTTTTATTCATTTACAAAGTAGAATTAAAAAAAATTGTGAAACACTATTTTAGTTTTCGTTCAACATTCATTATAAAAACTATCAGTTGATTAATCGGTATCGGCTTATGTGATCCACCCTAGCTATCGGTATCAGTAAACCTCTAATTTCTACCCAAACTGCTCCATGATTGACACTCTGGCTGCATTTAATGCAAAACAGTCGTATTAATAAGGGACTAAAATGTCTCAAGGCTAGTGAATCGTCTCTCTCTCTCTGTGTGTGTGTGTTTGGCCTCAATCAGCTGGAATCTCTGACTCAGAATGAGTCTGTGTGCCTCTGACTAACAGATTGAACAGGAACATCAGGGGATTTCTGCGTGTTCAGCGGCCATGAAGCGTTATACGGACACACATGTGGAGAGAGAAACACATGCAGCCAAAAAACCACATACATCACACATGTGGAGAGACATGGGATGTTTAAGTGAGTAAGAAACAGAAGCAGCAGCAGCGTTTGACATCTTACCTGCAGCAGGCCTCCATTCATGTCAATCAACACTCTCGGGGGTCCAGGTGAGTCGGGGGCGGAGCTTCCGCTGTGTCTGCACCAATGAGCCTCCAGATCTGCACTGCAGGAGAACGGACCCACAAACACTGCACTTCTGTCCTTCAGACCCATCTGCACCAACACGTCCTCACACTGAACCGACAGACAGACCTCCTTAAAACCATCTAGAGAGAGAATCGGACAGAAATCACATTAGTGTTCACTCTTGAGTGGACTGTGATGATGGACTGACTGCTGGGAGGGTTCAAACTCTGCAGCCATTGAGCACAAATGGTCAGGCATCACGTGTTTGCGTGTTTTAGGTGCTGCACTGTTCTTCACGCATGTCTGTAGCTGCTGTCGTGTGTCCAGGTGTCTGACAGCCTTTCAGACGTTCAAATTCAGATTCACCTCCTCTGATGGATCATCCATGGACACACACGTCTCCATCTGGCACTGACACTCATCTGCGGCTCATCTTTGGCTCAGTGAACAACAGGAGAGATTTAGGAGCATGTGGCTTTGGTCTGGCAGCAGCATGACCCTTCATAACACATAACAACACGGAGTCCCACAGGACAGAGACACACACACACACACACACACACACACACACACACACTCTCTCACACACACACACACACACACACACACATACACTCACTCACACTCACACACACACACATACACTCACTCACACTCACACACACACACATACACTCACTCACACTCACACACACACACATACACTCACTCACACTCACACACACACACATACACTCACTCACACTCACACACACACACATACACTCACTCACACTCACACACACACACATACACTCACTCACACTCACACACACACACATACACTCACTCACACTCACACACACACACATACACTCACTCACACTCACACACACACACATACACTCACTCACACTCACACACACACACATACACTCACTCACACTCACACACACACACATACACTCACTCACACTCACACACACACACATACACTCACTCACACTCACACACACACACATACACTCACTCACACTCACACACACACACATACACTCACTCACACTCACACACACACACATACACTCACTCACACTCACACACACACACATACACTCACTCACACTCACACACACACACATACACTCACTCACACTCACACACACACACATACACTCACTCACACTCACACACACACACATACACTCACTCACACTCACACACACACACATACACTCACTCACACTCACACACACACACATACACTCACTCACACTCACACACACACACATACACTCACTCACACTCACACACACACACATACACTCACTCACACTCACACACACACACATACACTCACTCACACTCACACACACACACATACACTCACTCACACTCACACACACACACATACACTCACTCACACTCACACACACACACATACACTCACTCACACTCACACACACACACATACACTCACTCACACTCACACACACACACATACACTCACTCACACTCACACACACACACATACACTCACTCACACTCACACACACACACATACACTCACTCACACTCACACACACACACATACACTCACTCACACTCACACACACACACATACACTCACTCACACTCACACACACACACATACACTCACTCACACTCACACACACACACATACACTCACTCACACTCACACACGCATGCAGGACTGCAGAAACTCCCAGCGCTCTGTTATTTCCACACAAACACAAAGCTCTCGTCCTGGTCTGCTGTTTACCAGTGTTTGGCCAAACTCCGTTTCGACTGTGTTTAATAAAGGCACATCAAACTGCGGGCCGCAGAGAGAGTCCGTCTGGCTTGCGGCCGGACGCATGTCTCATGCTGCAGTTATGTTCAATCCAGTAAACAAGTGCAAATTGTTGAGGTTTTAATTAAAATTCTCAACAATCACTTTATCTGGAGAAGCTGTATGACAGCATCTGTGGAGCAGATGGGCGCAGGGAACGCTCTGGCTCGCTGAGAGAGAGAAACACTCACAGAGTCACTCCTCAGCAGTGCTGGCGGTCATGTGATCTAACCCACAGCCATGAACATCACTGACATCACATCTGCACGACCTTCCCAGGGCTTCCTGACTTAATGGAACATTTATAAATATTTTTTACACAATGTATTTAAAAATTGGAAGAAAACAATTACTCAAAATTTGGGTAATACTTTATTTTACAGTGTCCTTGTTACACATGTTACATGTACTTACTATTATAATGACAATAAATTATGCATAATTACATGCAAGTAACCCTAAACCAAACCCTAACCCTAACCATATAGTAAGTACATGTACTTAATTAATATGATACAGTTAAATGTATAAGTACACTGTAACAAGGACACCTTAAAATAAAGTGTAACCAAAAATTCTACTGATATATTTTAATATTTTATAATAATATTAATATTTTTATGATATTTTATTCATTAATTCTAAAATTGGCCACTGCATTTTCAGAATTTCCATGACTTTTCCAGGCCTAGAAATCACTTTTAAAATCTTCTGTTCTTCTGAAACAATAGACAGTTGTTGAATTGAGTTGGTGAATTTACATAAGAAATATCATTGAGGTTTAGCCGTTTGAACTTATTTTAATGCTTTATTTGAAGTAATTTTAAGTCTTCTTCAGGCCCCCCGGCAACATCATCCTCATATGGGCCTGGTAAGCACTCACAGCACTGCATCATGGGAGACCTCCTCACAGACATCAGATCTGCGTCTCCTGC